CCTCGTCGCTCAGGTTTCCCGGCGCGGAATTATTTCCGAGGGGTAGCGGCGAGAATTAAGGCTTCTTGCGGCATAAAAAATCTGTGTAATCAATTATCGAACCTTTTACCCCATATTTCACGGCCAATGAGTCGCCACCCCGCCGGCGTCTTTAAGCAGGCAAGAGACTTACCGACCCTCTCTCTCGGCACTTTTTAGCTGCGATCCTTGGTCCTTCCTCCTCGCGGTCGCACCCTTATCTTTCTCCTGCTTCTCCGTTTTAGCTCTTCTGCAAGGAGAGGATAGCCGAGTCTTTGTTTGAGATATCAAATATTTATTTTCTTAAATAACGCAAGAAGACCGATAGGGAGGATCACCAGCATTTTTTTGTCTTAATAAATTATCAGCGATTATTGGCCACGTTTGCCTAAGCAAGGCGATTTCTTTTTCTTCTTAATCTCTCTCTCTCTCTCCCTCTCTCTCTGCGAGAGATTTCGTACCCCTTTGATGATGCTTTGCAGTTAAGTCAGCTGAAATCAATGTAGCTATCCAATTGTAAGACAAATAGGTACGTTAAAGTATACGTTAGAAAGTTTCTATTAAATAAATGATAAAATTAAGCAGTTCGCACAAAAATGCAGTAGAAGGAATTTCATTCGATAGTTATAATAGATACGTGTATTATACATATCCTGGTTAAAACAAAGTATACTAGATACTTTTGGAAAAAAGGAGAAACGTTTCATGCAGAACAATGTAATTTGAGTTCGCTAAAAACGCAAAGAATTAATTTTACGGGCAAGTACACCATTTTTTAATTATCATACGGCAACACTCGTGGGAAATTACTGTACGAACAAAATGTGAATATTTTTGAAGAATACATTTGGAGAAATTTCCAAATCCATCGGTTAACATCTCGCCTGTTAATTATTCACGAAGCAGTCGCACGTTACTTGGTCGCTCCAGAAAGCCTCATCGAAGTGCAAAAGGGTAGACGTAAAGGGTGACGGCGAGAATGAGGAAGGATACGCCCTTTGACATGGCATTGATGTAATATTAATATAAACAGGCGAAACTCAAAGGGCATACGTCTTCGTAACGAGTTCTTGTTCACGCGCACACAAATGTGCGTCACGACGCACGACGGTAAAATAAACAACAAAGAAATTGAGCAGAAGAGTAGCAAGAATGGCAATAAAGTACCTAATTAATTTTTTTATTAAATTAATATTAAAGAATAGAAAACTAATCTGTATTATAATTTCCTCGAAAAAGAGACATTAATAATTTTATTCGCAATAAAGTAGTTTTTATAGTGTTCAAGATTTTAGAGCGCAACTGTATTTTTATCGGAATATAACAAATACTTAATCAAAATATTGACTCGCCGTCAAAATCGTAAGGATACCGTACTTCCTGCTTCGTTTGCGTCGGTTTGACCTCCTAGGTATTTTGATGGCTTTCCGTTCGGTGATGCAAAGTAAGCAGGAAAGCAAACGTTATAACCCCGACTGAGGAGAAAGCAGCAGCCGTGGCGCGCGTGTACAACACGTGTGCGCACACGCGTGCGGTCTGGGAAAATGAGCGTCGAAGTGCCAGACGAAAACCATGAAAAAACTCAACATCGCGTATATAGAACGTCCTGCGTTTCGCCGTGAGCGGATTTTCCAACCTGGGAGAGGTTGGTGGAGGGTAGTGAGAGGGGTTGGCCGCGAGAGAAACGACAACGTAGACGATGTCGATGTCGACGACGACGACAACGACAGCGAGGACGATAGAGGGACTAAAAGGCACTTCTAATGGCATTGTGCGCGTTCAAACAAACACGTGGAATGCTTAGCTGTTTTTAAAATTGCGGTGAAGTCTCTGTCCTAGCTTATGCGCTTTTATTCACTTCTTGTCGTTTCTCTTGTTTTTCGGCTACATAAAAAAACGGTTTTGCTGAAATATCTAAAAATTTAGCTGGATATAGATCTAAAAATAATTTTGTTGAATTGTCAAAAATAATTACATAGAACGCTCAAGCTGGTCAAAATTTTTTGCAGCATTATTGAGCTTCTTACATAATTATTCTGATAATTCAATAAAATTATTTTTAGGTCTATCTACCTAATTTTTTAGATACTTCGGCAAAATCGTTCTTTCCAAAGGTGCGAAATATTAATGTATTATTAATGTCAGATTGTGATTTACATTATGATCGACTAATCAAATCAATTGATGCAACAATTATGATTTCAAACTGATATATGATAAAATATGATGATATATTTATAATATTGATACATAAAAATAAAGATTTCAGACTTCAAATCTGATAATAAAAATTTAAAAAAATGTTTATATTGAAAAACCAATAAATAATGGAAAAATGAAAATTTCTACTTTATTTAAAATTTTGCCGATTGAAAGATTATCGGTAAAAATGTAACGTTCTGTCTTGTTTCTTGTGTCGACTTCTGTATACAAAGCACTAGCCATACAGTCTTTTCATTAATGCCTGAATGAATAAATGCCACTGTACCCCTCCCCTAAATTCTTAATGCAGCAAGCTCGCTGAAAGTACTCCCGGGCCTTCAAAATATCTTTAAGAAGTTTAAAGTTTTCCCTCGATAGAGAGAGAGAGAGAGAGAGCATGTAAATATTGCATGTAAAGCGCGACATCAAAGAGATTCTTCTACGGTATAATGCTTTAAATTTCGACACAGGGAGAGATTAAACAACGGAGTAAGGAGCTAAACAATCTTAAAATGTCTATCAAGAAAATGTATTCGTCTTCTATGTTTAACGATTAATATTTCATTAAGAGAATTTTATCGATTAAAAATATTTATTGCAATTTTAAGGACAGAGAAAATGCATACGTACCTATATCAAGAAAATTACACTTTACCATCATTTATATACTTTATACTTTTATACCTTAAATCATTCGACGCTAAAAACAAATAATGATAAAAATCAAAGAACAAAGCATAATATATTTGCTATAAATAAAATTATTTAAAAATTCGCCTATATACTGTGTCCACGATAATTACAAATTCTGTAATATCTTCAAAAGATCGAGCAATTCCGCACATAGTTTTCCAGAGTTTGCACAGTCACTCGTCACGCATAATCACTCTGAGTACCTGCAGGATAACGTTCAAGTATATCGCAGTAGAGAGAAGGTTAACGGAGGACGACGAAGAGAGGACATCGTTCATCCAGCAAGAACTGGGTTCGACGCTCGCCAAAGAGACCGCAGAATCTGTACTAGCCTCTCTACCAGGACGTTCCTGAAAACTTTGTTACATTTTTGGTCGAGTCCGCATATGCGATACGACGAGTAAGTGGATCAAAGGGACACAGGAGAATTCCGGGATAACAGAAGGAAGGAAAGAGAAAGAAAAAGAGACACGTTGAAAATTGGCGGACTCTCCTATTGCTCTATCTTTGAGTACTTCGTCGTGCTTTCTTTCAATGTCGTAACGAAAAAACCTTTCCATAGTTCTTCAGGATGCCAGGAACACAAAGAGAATACGGAACGAGTGTGACTAGCAATATAAAGAGTGAAAAGTGGATCGGAATTGGTAGAAGAAAATTTAAGTTGGATGTAGATATACAATTAATTGTTTGATGTTTAAATAAATAAAAATAGAATTATATTAAAGAAAATTGTGTAGTGCTATATTATAGATAAAGGATTCATAATATTATCGTTCTGAATGTGTTCTAGTAAATTTTTTTTGTCTAAAGTAAAAACGCTACATATTTTAAAGAAAATAAGTTTTATATTAGTATATAAAGAGATGTTACATCTAAAAAATTTCAATTTCTTATATTGCTGAAATCTAAATTTTGAGCATCACCAGGTACTAAAATTTTTCTTTGTTGCCGCAAGAAATTTGTAAAGCATTCTGAAAAAAAATTAGTATTTCGTGGAGGACAGCTAGAGTTTGTGGTAACAGAGCATCAAAGTTATGCACTGTGCATGGAAATGACGTGTATGTGTGCTTCTTACGGAAAAATGAATTGTATGCTATGTAAGAGAAAGAAGAAAGTAGAAAATGAGAGAAAAAGATGAATCGAGAGGGGAGAGGAGAGAGAGAGAGAGAGAGAGAGAGAGAGAGAGAGAGAGATATGCCCCTAACGTGAGTCGCTCTCGCGCTAAAACCACGTTTAAAACAAAGGGTGCCGGCGGCGAATTAAGAACGATATTTTAACGCTCGACTTAATTGCATTAAATTGCAAGTGAGAAAGAGAGTTAACAGCGAAGAGAGCTATGAAAAAAATGTATGAACGTGCAAAGCTAAAAGGGATGAGAAGAGTGGCGAGAGAGTCTAAAGAAAGTGACCCTTCTAATCCTCGTGATTGGATATACGCGATTACACGTGAGACACATCGTATTCCGCATATTTCCTAATACTCCATATTCTGAGTATATGAAAAGAGAGAGAGGAAAGGAATAGACTTTTTGAATTATCAATTAAATTAAAATGAAATATTCCAAAAAAGATAACTTTCTCTTCCGGTATAAATTTGAATATATTTCTATATATTTGAAAAGTATCTAATATTCATAATTATAACATGGAGAAAAGTTGACGTAAACAAAATCATTTAATGTTTATCAAATAGTAATGTTATGCAATATAATTAAGTAATTATGTAATTATACTATATAACGATCTCAAGAAATAGATATCACAATAGATAACACAATAGATATCACAATAGATAACACAACATAAATAACAAATTAAATCAGAAAATACGCATACATATTATTTATACATATATGCATATTACTTATATATATTAATCGCATAATTTTGAAAATTTATATCCACTTAATTTCACACACGCTTTTCGTGATAGACCAAAAAAACTGCAAATATCTAAATCTATAAATTATACAATAAAGGATTATTACATAATAAGTTTACGATAATTATATGAAAGCTCGTGTTACAAGTGTTTAACAAGACTAAGTCTTTTTGTAAAATACGTCGTACTTTACTCAGTAACATTCGCCTTGAAGATTCTTGCGTTTATTACTAGAAAGTATAAGAAACTGAAATCAGATCAGATATCATTATATGTGTCTATATATCTAGTTTGTTTAACAGATATTGGAAAGTAAATTCTAAGTTCTGTAAGTTACATCATCGGTTTTGCAAACTAAACTCTCACCCAAAGTTAAATCATGAGCTTCGTAAACTTTATTCTCGGCAGAAACCAAATTCTCAGTTTTGCAGATTAGATTCTCAGGAGAAACTGAACTCTCAGACTTGTAAACAACTACATTCGAAGCGTTCGATATCTCGCGATGACTTCTTTGATGATTTTCTAGAGTGATAATACTTCTGAAATACTTGCCGCATTTCACACAGTAAAGATTACACTTCTCATGACTCTTGCGGTGCTTGTTGAGCAGATCCTTACGCGTGAACGTCTTGTTGCAGATCGTGCAGCAGAACTTGTCGGGGTTCACGTGGAGAACATTGTGCCTCGTCAGGTTGTCCAGCCTCGTGTACTTCTTGGTACAAATGTCACAGGTGAATTTAGTCCTGTCGGAGTGACATCTCTGATGGTACTTCAAATATCTTTTCTCAGCGAATGTTTTTTTGCAGGCGCAGCAGACGATCTGATTACTTTCATTCTTTTTTGCATCCATATGACTTGTCAATTCTTCACACGTCGCAAATTCCTCCTTACAAAAAATGCAGACAAATTTCTTTGGTTGTTTGTTCCTTTGTATATTTTTCACAAAGTTTGGATCGGTCATGATCTTGTACAAGAAGGAATCTTTCAATTTGTCCTCTGGCTCGGCGGAGGTATCTGTCGTGATGTCGTCAATATGATTGGAAGGATTATCCTTTGTTGATAGATTCATGACCTCCACGTTATTGTTGTCATCGTTAATCAACGATGGCGACGTGCTGGTGGATGAAGAGAAGGTCATCCTGTTGTTCGGACTAGTAAACGTCGTAATTGGAATAAGAATCTTTGAAGGTAACGCGTATGCCTGTTAAATAAAATTTAAATAAAATTTGTCCTAGTACTAGAAAAATAAAGGACATAAATGCTAAAACTACATGCCAAATTTTTATATTCACATACATATGAAATTTCTTAAGTAATCTAATCGTGCAGTTGTATTTTTCTCATAATTATTAGACAATTTCGATAATTAAATAAAAATTAATTTTACAATGTATAATAGGATAAAAAATGTCACATAATTACCTACCTGACATGAATCTTGAACATTTATTGCACCTATAGAATCATAATCTTTTTCAATATCCGCGTCACTTTCCTCTGAGGAGCTTCTTGATGCAGATGCATCTTGATGAATCTTAATACTGCTTTGGAGCATTCTATGTCTTGGAACTGTTTTAATTCTCATATTTGTACTGAAAGAATGGTAAATAAGTATAAGATTAATTTTATATTGGTATTCTTAATTTTACAATAAAAATTAGAAAATATACCTAATAGATTTCAAATTATATAAAATTTAAAAATACTATACGTAACTCTCTTTAATATTAACTTAACATTATATTTTAACAGAAAATAACTCTTTAAGTTAACAGTATCTCTAATAAATTTAAATTAATCTTAATAGAAAATAAAGAATCCGATATTTATTTTAAAAATGCAATGAGAATACATAATGTTTTTGTAACATAAACTTGTACTTACATTTAGAATAAGCGAAGGTAAACGATTATCAAAAAGACAGTTTCTCGTTATTATAATTAAAAATGTTACTTAACACTTTGGACACATTATTTCACTGATTCGTGTAATCTTCTCAGTACGACACATTCTATATGAAATACCTATCGCGACTGACAGGATTTATCGCAACTAACTTCGAATTGGCTGTCGCTCGATTGACCTCGGTTCGACTTTGATGAGCGACACGACAACAAAACCCTAGCGGAGTCGCGGGAATTAGAATCCGAGTTTGCAAACATAGGTATAGTCTCGTATTCGCGGAAATGGATTATTACGGAGGCTACGTTCTTCAGCATTATAAATTCTTTCGTAGACATACTTAAGCATATAATACATGTTTACAGAATCTACAGATATATAACTTCTCTAATATTAATAATTACGTTTTAACAACAATATATAATAGAAATCTTGCATAATATAAAACTATAAATATATTTGTTGATAAATTAATTTATTTTTTAAATAATTTTTCATCATAATTATTAAAACACATCTATATTTTTTATAACACTGCAATCCCATATATATACAGATAAAGTATGATTAAATAATTATCCTGTACAAAATAATAAAAGTAATATTAAAATTTATGATGTGTTATTCAATATTAAATCAAAAGTATCAACATTTTGTATTGATTTTCCATTTATGAGTTAACCATCTCAATTATATGAACCAGAAAAAATGGAATATTTTCCTTCTCAGATATATTTTTATAACCTATTTTATTCGTTTTATAGACAAAGAATAGTGCCGTCGCGCCGAATAGAGTAAATCGACACAATGCTAAAAAAGATATCGCGACGAAATAAAAGAGAGCGTGAAGATAAAAAAAATGCGAAAGGGGTCAAGCATATAATTGGCAAAAAAAAATATTCTCGCTGTTTAGTACAATATCCCAGTAGCGATCCTTGCACAGTACCGGTCGTTAATACGACATAAGGAGGAGCCAGGGTTAAGCGAGGGTGAAGCGAGGATTTTTAATTGTAGTTCGCCCAATATAACCCCGCCCGACCCGTCGGTATTGTCATACCGGGACGGCGCTTTTCTTTATTTCCCCAGTGGTTGGATGAGGTTATACATTTTTTTTAAACTACGGCAATGCCTCCGTCTTCTTATTAGCAAAGCTAATTGGAAATACAAATGGTTATTCACGGTAAGAAGGAGAAGGTTGTGCCGAAGAGTGACTGCGCAGTCGTAGCCGGGGATTTGAAGATAGAAAAAGAAAGAGTAGACGAAGGGGGAGGCGGTGGTACACTTCTGCGTATTAAGGTTGTATTTGCTCCGGATAATTAGGACTTTTTCCCGGCCAATTCGGATGAATAATTGATTTTGCTGTTCCCCGCGCCTGTCCGGACGCGCCTGTCGCTCTTGGACCTTTTCAAATGACAATCACCCAGAGAAAAATACGGATCTTCGTGATGAAATATTCAATACCTCGACGCAATATTATGCGTTGAGAAGAAAAAAACGCAGGGTGATAAAACGTTCCCAAATGCTGTAAGGTATGCAATAACGACAGGGTAAACTTTTACTTCTGTAGATCAATAAGTTATTCTAACAAAAAATATATTATTTTAATAAAAATGTCAAGCAAAGTTTATATTTTAATAGACTTTTATACTAAGAATTGGTTTAGGAAAAAAAGAACTTGCGAAAAATAGTAATTCCCTAACATTATTTTTCCATTAAAATAACTATTTTTAAAAATCTATAAATAAATGATGCTTGATAAAACATCCTGTATAGGAAATTATTTGTCGTAAAAAACGCGAATTGAATTTAATAAGCATTAAAATTTTTTCTCCGCAAATATTATAATATCCTTGTGACGTTTGACAGATCGTAATAAGAAGAGGATGATCGACCGTCTTTGAGCGACGAAATCCAACAACGAGTATTTTCCACCTCTCTTAGATTTAACGGAAAGTTTCCCGCAATTTTGTTGGTAACGTGAAAGTAACGTCGAACGTCTCGCGAGACATTTTGACATCCAGTACATCACGTCCATTTCCTTCATCTAGTTATATTACGTATACAATATCTGTGTATCGAAGCTGGTTGATCCTGGCAAGTTCCCTTCCTCGACGTCGGGCCATACATCATACTACCTTCTTTATTAAACTCATATTTTTCAAAAAGTCTCACCTTCGCTATCTGGCGCGCCTCCTCTCGTTCGCAACTCGGAAATCAGCCCTGGGAGAACGAAAAATTCATTTGGCACTCAAGGATAAGATGGATATGAAAATTTTTACGCTAAAGATGATTTACGTTCGCCGATATCATTACTATTACCTTTTTATCATAAATAATGTATCCTTCATAGATAGATAAATGTCTTGATTTGATAAAAATTATATACATTTATATATTGAGATAATTAATACAAATTAATCAAAATTTAGATTGTAAAAGTTATAAAGTCTAAATGTTCCATTCGACTCTCGTATCGATTAGTGTTGACAAATTCTTGACAAAATTTTTTACGATGGAGCGGAAAGAACATACACACATATATATATATATTCTCGTTGTGTGTATATATATATATATATATATATATACGGAGATCGACGAAAGAATGGCGGAGATCCTTTTAACGAGTCACGCTTCAGAGGATATATCGTACGACGAGTTCGTTGTCTCTTCGTAGCGCCAGAAAGTTAGGCCACTTTCCTTCGACGCGCGGAGGAGAGATTGGCCGTTTGGCGGGCATAAAGAAGAAAGCCACCCCCTTCAGTTCGCCTTCCAACGCACCCTTCACCACCTTACCATCGTCCGCCCCTCACGGTCCAAAACCGCGGACGGTTATAAAGCATTCTTCCAGTTTATTAGACGGAGACTCACGGGCCTCTCTTTATATTAAGCATGTGCATTATTAATGTGCCGGTATAACCGTAAAATGCTGATGAAAAAAAGTTGCTGAGCCCCGCGGGTGTTTTTTCTGCGGCAAAAGGCGAAAGAAGGGATGAGCTCCTCCGAGATTGTTACCGCAGCTTGACTGGCTGACTCTTCGACTCGTTAGGTATGTCGTGCAAGATTCGAGCATGAGAATAAATAGATCGAAAGAAATGTGTACAATGTAAATATAATCATAAACAATTTTAGAATAATAAATTGTATTACAAATAAAAACTCTGATATAATGTTAGACGCAAAGAGCCCGCTCTTTCGAAACGCAAATAAAAACTGTGTCCAACAATATCTTCAATTTTCAGTATGCAATCGAAGATAGAGCATCATGTTTAGTAACGATCGATAGTAAATAATCGATTGGTATATTTTTTGCTTCAGAGTTAGAGCTGTCTCACGCGATAAGACAGCGCGGCAATCTGGCGCAGCGCAGGAGTTACACGCACCAGGGATTTCCATGGAAATCGATGACACCCTCGACAACGTAACTTTGGACGGGAGAGAATCGCCGAATAGGATGCCCGTAACTTATCCAGATAAGGGGTTGTAAAACGATGCTGTAGCTATCTGCCAATACGGTCTACTCGCGAGAGGGAGGGCCTGCATCCAGGTTGCGGGTAGATATAGGAAGCAATTTCCCAGAAATTGATGCCATTTGAATATCGTCTGCGCCATGACACACGCTTTCAAGGCGATGCCGTTCGTAAAGGCGTTTACACGATTGTCAGAGATCTCTATCCATCCGTGCGCCGCTTCCTCGACAAATACTACCGAGACACATTGGTATTATATGTTTCGTGGATCGTATTTCCATTGCGGACTGCGCGAACAGTACTTCATGAGGAGATGGCGCGATTAACGTAAACTAGCGTCTGTTTCTCGATATTTGTTTCCTCGCCGATTGCAACACAATTCCAGGAAGATTAAAATAGTCAAGTACTTCCGATGTCGTCTATTATTTCTGTTAATTTCATGAATTATTGCATTATTCAAACGTTATATGTAAAATTAAATTAAATAGCTTGTATTTATAGAAAACTATTTTTATACACATTATTTATAAATAATATAATAATAATAACTTTATTGAATGTGTGTGTAAATAATAAAGGGACACATCAAACAATACATATGTAAATACAGTATAAAGGTATTCTTTGTAGACAAAGGTGAAACTGTTGCTAAATGCTGATTTTCTTAATCTTAGTATTATTATTTAACATGGCGTGATTAATAAATCATTAATGTAAACAGTAAGCAAATATTACAAATATTCGTAATATAAATTATATATAATAATTAGAAAATGTGTGAAGAGTTAGATAGAAAAGAAGTAACGAATGCAAATGTTAAATCATGATATAATGCTACTTATATTGGAAATAAACGTCAATAATAATGTCTGAATTTTTCATGAATTTCACATGAATGATAATATTATTTCATATCTCATCAAACGTCAGATCATCATTATATTATTCGCTAAAATACTTCCGGATAATTTTAATCAGGACACACTTTTACCCCGATGCTTGTGATTATATTTGGTGACTTCCAGATACGTGCTGGGGTTACGTCACGTTGGTGTTACCAAAGTCTTGTTTATCAAGTGCGTTGCTACAGTCGAAGTATACACACAGACACATACTTGGTGCCCGTCAATGGTGCTTCTTAGCTTATGCATAAAGCCCCTTTCGCCCATCACCCTCACGCCCCGCCGGTCCCGGTCTATTCGCATCCACCTCC